GTTAAAGCAAACCGAGCTCATCGAAAACTCGTTTAGTTAACGAGCCGAGTTTGATTTACTAAAGCTCAAAAATACGTTTCTTATAATATTCTGTCATTCGACTCGTTAATATTGATAAACGAACTCGAGCTCGAGCTCAATAACTGACTCATGTAATTAACAAGTCGAGATCAAGCTTGAGCTCGATTCGGATTGTCTGGGCTTGTTTACTCCTCTAATTGGGCTTTTGACATCTATGAGTCAAGTTAAACTTCTCCAAATTAAATTTTGGGCTAGATGTTAAAAACGTGAATCGTGATTTGACATTAATTAATTAGTTTCTAATTTTCAAGAGTATAATTGAAAACAGTAGACTTATTGATAAGGAAACTTTCAAGCTCGCTCGTTCTCGTATGGCACAAACATCATTATTCATCCGGAAATTTCGTATTTTCTCCTCAACTTCACTATGTCAAGGTCCTTCAGCGTGCTTGCAATTTGGCAAATTTCCATTTCACCGGGACCAGTGTTCGCTAATAGTTATTGCTATCTGCAAATGTACGGAGTAGCTATAGCAAGCGACAAGCAAATGTCGTATTCAATAAAAATTGTAGTTAAATTAATTAAATACTAATATAATGACGATTATATATTATCTAGACTAATGAATTTGGATGACGATTATAAAAGAAAATATTAAACTAAGAAACTAATATATCTATTAAATAAAGACTTGATCTAAATTATAGATTAAATAAGATACGAAAGATAAATTGAAGCCTAAGCGTTCCTCATAATTAATTTACAAACGTTTAACTTCATCCAAACCTTATTCATTTTATCAATCGTAGAGATAATCACTAAATAAATTTAATCTCTAATTTTATCTCATCGCGGTCTCAATATGAACAACTAACTCTGTAAGTTCCTAGAATTTCCGTTATCTCATAAGATCCCATCAACCTCCCGATCTGTTTATTCTTTTACATTATAAATTTCTCAATTCTAGCAATCAGTTATCTTCTATTAGTCTCAAATTGATCACAAAATATGCAATCATAGTGGTCATCTACTCATACATAAAAATAAGCACAAGAAATTCATAAACGAAAGATAAACCGGAATGAAAGTAATAAAAACTAGATTATAAATCAATCTGAGTACTAACAAATCCTACAATATAAGATAAATTTAGAGTAAAAACATGCTTCCGAAATCAGAATAAAATATTATAAAACACTGAGTTCGAAAGAGAAAAAAAAAAGAAGAAGAAAAAACTTATTCGACTTCGTCAATCTTTTCTTTCCGGCTTTCTCGCTCGTCTTGGGGATGTTTCCTAGCATTCAAAACTCTCTAAAGCTATTAAAACTCCCAAAAACTCATGCCCAAATGTTCTTTAAATAGTTGGAGTCGAATTTACGTCAAAATATGTTGAAAAACGTATTGAAAAAAGAAAAACGCATCAAAATGACTAAGTCACACAACTCGTGTTATTATAGATCACATGACTCGTGTGAGTCTTGTTGCAGCTCCAAAACAGCTTCATTCGACAGTCAATGGACTTTGGAGGCATGTTTCGTGATATCTGGTAGAGAAAATAATTATATGGTTGAATAGCTCTGTGAGCCTACTTTCTGAGCCTACTTTCTGAGCCTACTTTCTTAATATCGGACATTGTTCAATGAAATCCCGCCGCAAAAAAGGTCGTTGTGTGGCCAGAATGAAATGTGACAAATTTTGCACAGCTGCGAGCAAGAACAAGTCCTAATGAGCCATGACTACTCGGCTTGGTCTGTTCCGAGCCCACGGGTTCAGATGGGTCTAGGATCGCACCAGTGGTTCTAGTTGGGTCCCGGTTCGCCTCCTACCCAATCACCGCAGATTTTTGGCCCGTTTATATTTTTTTTTATTTATTTTGCCGTCCTTGCATAAAAACACTTTCTCAACAATATTCAACCATGTTTCTATCAAAACACAAAGAAAACAATTTTCTTCATAGCTTAATAAAATTAATTAATTAATTAATTAATTGTCAAATTACGATAAAACGAGCACAAAAGTCACTTTAAAATTTACGTAAAAATGACGAATGACAATAAAATGATTCTTCTATTTGTGATCGTCGGTCGAGCCCGCTATATCCTCCTCTATTTGCTCTCATATATCTCGAACGTCGCTCATGTCAGAGATCGCCTCCCTCACCTGATCTGACTGATCAACCGCCAGCACAACATTTACCAAATTCATGTTGTAATCGCTGCTCTCAGACATTCCTATTATATTTAAGAAGAATAAGATGGAAAAACCATAGTACTTGCTCGTGAAATTGTCAAATATGCAGTTTCGCCGAACTTAAAACCTCAACCAAGGCAAACAAAGTTCAATAGGTGAAAAAAAATTGAAAGTACTCAAGTCCCAAGAAAATCTTATACTACCTCCTATTTTTTTTTTAAATGTCATTTTGACTTTATCAACAATTAACCAAATAAATGACGTTTTGGATCTTTTGTACATATTTGTCCATTATTACTCCCATCTAGCTAATAAATACACTACGTCTTTTCATATTCACTTTTCATCTTTTCTCAAAACATCCATCTCTATCTTCATTAATGAGGTTTATTATTGGCAAAAAAAAAAAAAATTCTTAATTACTGTGCAACTTCTCAAAACGACACTTCTTGAAAATAAGAGGGAGTATTTATATGGATGGTCTCAGTTTTCAATCATTACAATCCGTTGTATTTAAGGAGCGAAGTCCAAATATCACGTTCATAATCGACACCTCCTCACACTGACATTTGTCTTTTTGTACTAGAAATGATGTGCCTGTCTAAGAAACATCATGTTCCTTCTCTCACGTCGTTAAATGCTCCAACCTAAAAGGTACCTTATTGCATCTTACCGACGGTTTGTGCCTAAGAATATTGACGATCTCATAGGCCTGACACCATTAGAAGTTCAGCAAATTGTCACACAACTTCCCAAGGACATGACGGCCTGGCGATCCTAGAAAACTAGGGTCTCCTTGTTATACATAAAAATCACTTATGCGTTTTGGGTCGGCCCACTAAGTCTAGAAATGCGTAAGCCACAATGAAAATTAGGCTTGCCGATAAATGGGCCTAAAATTGCGAAATGGAACAACCGAAGAAGCCATACCCAATGTTGTATCGGAACACATTTCGATATGTTTCTATTTCTTCCATCTGAAGATTATAGATCTCACTGCAGTGTAAACAAAAATTGATAAATCAAATTGTTAAAGCAACTGCTCAGTCATTCTTGTAAGAAATAGGAGGAAAACGGGTGCGTACCTACGCAAGTGAAGCGCACCATAACATGGAAAGCCAGATGAAGCCCAAATGGGATTCCATCCCAAAACCAATTGGTGGAAAGAGTAGTAGCCCATTAGACTTATAAATTAGACATATTTTCCCTATATAAACAATGTGAGACAACTCACAAGTGACTATTCTAATAATTCTCATCATCAAAATAAGTTTTTACATGAAAGACGCGTGTCATCTCCCTACACTCTTAGCTGACTCGTAGTCATGCTGACTCGTAGTCATGATTGTTCGTCTACTTTTTTCATGAGTCAACAATCTCTTTATATCAATTCATGGAATATAAAACACGTTAATTCCTCCCTTAATGTTTAATAATCGTCACACCTAAATCCACATAATTACGCTATTACACCGTCCCATTATGGTGGTTGACTAACATTAATGATTCCCCAAAAAGATAAATATGGCAATGAAAAAAACAAGTGCAACACAAATGAGAAAAGTTCAAAAAATGCTGAGTCGGATGGTCCTGCGGCATCATCAATGTTGTTTGGCCATGCATGCATGCATTAAAAACGTGTAATTTGTCCAAAAAAAATTGTCTTCTAATCACAGCCTCCTGTTCCCCTCCCTTTTTCGATAAATACACGATATTACTTTCATTTAACAATGACACAACTTCAAGAAAAGAGAAAAAGAGAGTGAGAAAATTATTTGTCATATGGAGAGAGTACATTTTCTTGTGTTGATTGTTTTTTATGTCCATCTAATTAGTTGTGCAGTCGGGACGAATATTGTCCCAGGGATTTTTATCTTTGGGGATTCGACTATTGACGCGGGCAATAATCGTTTCAAACCGAATTGCAGTGTGCAGGCTGATTTTCCTCCTTATGGCATCACTTTTTTTCACTATCCGACCGGAAGGTTCACTGATGGTAGAACTGTATCAGACTTTATTTGTAAGTCCACACACACACATATAGATATATATACACACACTGATTGGTGTTATTGCATTATTTCATTTTATTTTTAAATTTTGTTATAGCCTCCTTTGGAATAATTTCAATTTTTTGGTCATTTTACTTGTCTAAAGTCTAATTTTGGTACACTAATTTACGCCTTATCAAAAATAGTAACTTATGTTGCAATTTGTATCATTTTTGGGGTATTACTCATCAAAAACAGTACGTTATGTTGTAATTTGTATCACTATTGGGACATTATCTCAAATGGTTCTTTTTTGGGATAATGTCCCAGTAGTGATACAAATTGCAACATAACGTACTATTATTGATGAGGAGAGAGTTAATGTACAAAAAAAGAACTTTAGACAAGTAAACGGACCAAAATTAAATTTTTGCCCTTTTTGGTGCATGTATATTAATTGGCTAGTTTAATTAACACATATATGTCTACGTGATGAGTGTCTAATTACAAAAAACAAGCTCAATTAATCTAGTTTATTAATTCTAAAAAGATTGACAAAGAAAATTAAGGTTGCATGACATTTGATGAGGAGCTGATTATTTGAGCAATCGAGTTGTGTTTGTATTTAGCATTCATGTCGAATTTGGTTATGCTCAATTTAAATCGTATAACTCGGTAATTGACTTAAAAGGCAACTACATATTTAGCATTCTTGTCGAATTCAAGTTAGTTATGTTTNTTTTTTTTTTTTTGGTAGTCTGCAAAAAACTTAGGAAAATGTGGTAACGAATTTAATGAATGGCAGCTGAATTTTTGGAAATACCTTTGCAAAAGCCATTGTTGGAGATAGAGCTTGAGATCGTGAACGGAACTCGGAAGAATTTTCCAACCAACGGAATTAATTTCGGCAGCGCCGGCAGCGGTGTTCTTACGGCCACAAATAGTGAATACGTAAGATGTTGATTTTACATATTTATCATTTAGATGTGTGTTAATTAATTGTTAAATGGATTATGTGAAGTAAATAATGAATTAAGATCTACGAGGGGAAAATAATGTAAAATCTAAATAATTCGACCTTATTAGTTTGGAGTAGGAAATAATGTAAATCGAAAAACTTTGACTAGTTTGGAGTAGGACAGTGCCATTATTACGGCTGAGGATGAGACTCGGAGAATTTTAAACCGTTCCGAAAATTAAATTGGATTCACTATGAATAGAAAAATAATCGTTGATCGTTTGACTTTTTTCAAAACGAACCAAAAAAATAATTGGGCAAAAATTCAATTTTAGTCCGCTAACTTGTTCATTGTCCACTTTTGGTACACTATCTTTCCCCTCATCAAAAATGGTCCATTATGTTACACTTTTCATCAGTTTTAGTACACTAATCCAGTGGCCCGGGATTACGAGATGTCAAATCAGATTTTTATCCTACCACGTCAATATCTTATCCCTCCACGTAGTTCCAATCCCGATCCACGTAATCTTGTAATCTCGCCAACTGGAGTAGCATACTAAAACTGATGAAAAATGTAACATAATGGACCATTTTTTATGAGGAGAAAGATAGTATATCAAAAGTAGACAATTGACTAGTTAGCGGACCAAAATTGGATTTTTGGCAAAATAATTGGTACCGTTAGATTTCACAAATATCCTTACCTAGGACTGAACCGAACCATCTCATTCTGTATCGAACCGAAGAACCGATTATAATATTAGATATGTCTTTTTCATAGATTTTATATCAACTTTAATCTTATGTAGATTGAGTATTTTTAAAATCTTAATAACATAAGTAATAACAATTAAACTTCACCTAAATTTCATTCTCAATAATACTTGACCTACAATTAACTGAAAAATGTATTTTTATTATATTTCTTGATATTTTTCTTAGTCTTATTCCATCTTATGATTAAAATGGTACAAAAAGTTAAAGAAATAACTTAAAACATTATATTATATTTTTATCTAGATATCAAATTAGTTGTACAAATTTAGTCTTATTTAAGATTTTATATAAAAAAAAAAAAAAACATATCAAAATTTAAATATAATTAGATAATTATTTGAAAAAAATTAAAAAATATATAGAAATCTTTGGAACTACGAATGAAACCGAACAGAACTAAACCGTCCTGAATACTGAATCGAACTGTACCAAAAAATAAAATCTTCGAATCTAACCAAATTTATTTTTTTGTACGATTTTAAAAATTGAATTTTAATTATCTCTAAATCTCGATATGTTTCCAAAAATTTCTTAATCTTCGGATTGTACCGACCTTCGCTTACCCCTAGACAACACCAATAGTTCAAACTTCAGACTATTATTGGCGAAATTATATGTGAACCAAACGGTAATAATTGTAGACTTGTAGTGTGGGTATAAATTATACCCATTTTAGGGTTGTTACGGCACCCACAATGCATTGGATCTCTTAATGAAATATCATATGCCACATAGGAAATAGACTTAGTCTATTAAAAAATGTCTCCCAATGCAATTAAAAGTGGACGTGATCTAGCTTATGTGGCAATAATAAAAAAAGAGACTAAGTCCACACTTGGGTCTATTTTGGACCCAAGTACAAACCCAAACACTCATCATTTATTCCTAATTTAATTTTTCTTGTAATAAAGAAAATATATTAGAGCATTTTTACTGGTTGACATGTATCTAGACCTAGTATTTTATTTTTGCATTGAATAACTTTTGAATTTTTTTACTTGGGTTTGTCCATGTCATTTAGGACTTAAGTCTATTTATATGCCACATACGTAAAATTAGACTCAATACATTTTAGGTGCTCTTAGCCTGAACACTTTAACAAACATTTTTAAGGGGTTTTTTAAGGTTAAAATATAAGTGGAAAAACTCTATTTTGAGGGAGGAGAGAGTTTCTCTAACCTTCTTTATATTGTTTTTATTATTTGTTTTCTAGTGGGGTGAGTGGAGAATTTTTTTTTCTTATCCACTAAATTACCGTTTATCCCGAAAAAAAAGAAGTAACTACTTGAAAAAAATATTGGTTTACTATTTGGATAAAATAAAATTTTGCGACAAAGTGGATACATCGACTTGTGAAAAAAGAAGTAACTACTTAAAGAAAAATTATACATACCCAACCTTGTGTACAATTAGATTGACAACATAAGTGGATACATTGACTTATGTATTTTTTTTATTTTTATTTTTGTGAATATTTTTTACTTGTGTTGTCAATCTAGTTGTATAATAAGTTGACAATGTAGTATTTCTCAAACTTAAATCCTTGTTGTGTTTGGGGACACTACCGTGTTGACATGCACGAAACTCAACATGATTTTTCACTTACATCCCAAAGCATGACATTCTTCTCTACATATATGATAAAAAATTCATAATTTTGTTAAAAATATAGTATATGAAATGACTAGACCGTAAGATTTGATACGTGTTTAAGATTATGTTTGATAAAATTATATGAAGACAACATGATAGTTAATAATTAGTTAATTTATCTTATAGCTCATAAGTTAATTTTGAATTTGTAGCTGATAACATGTGGTTGATAGCTAAAAGCTAGATGATATAATTAAAGTGTTTGATGAAATCAACTGATAAGTAACTTGAAATAAAAATTTCAACAGACTGTATTTAAAATCTACTTAAAGAAGCTTATGAGATAAGTTGTAACTATTGTAAAAGTTTTATTTCACCAAACTAAATGATGCAGAATAAATATAAGTATATTATTATTATTATTATTATTATTATTATTATTATTATTATTATTATTATTATTATTTAATAATTAGTAGTAGCTTAGTGAATAAGTTAGGTTTAGTTTGTGGGGTTTATTTAAAGAATTCTTCTGATGTGTGACGAGTAGTTGATTTTGAATATGAAATAAGATTAGAGATTGTGAGTCTTGCGTGTTTTACGAGAGAGTATCTCGTTTACTCGTTTATCTTTCTCACTCGTACGCTTCCCTACATCAGTTGGTATCAGCAGTCAGTACGATTCGCGATGTCACCGGGACGGCAAGATGCTGCAGAAGAATGACGTGTCGCAACCTTCAACGATCGGTTTCAACAGATCGACTACCGATTATTGGACGTGCGTTTCACGGATTGGTTTGCCGATCTTTCGCCTGGGATCGAGGATTTGCATTTGACGCTTAACAACATGGTTGTTTCGAAATTGCAAACGAACCGCGATGGGGCTGTGGGCTGTGGCTTTAGCGGGGGAGACAGAGGCGGCTGCAGCGGTCCCCGCCACCTCTGAACGGCATCACGGATGGCGACTTTACCCGGTCGGCTATCCCGTTGACAGATCGACCACCATGGCGAGGACACGAAACCCCCGGTCAGCCCCGAGTTCGCCAGAAGTGGCGGACTGGAGGTAGTTTCATACATGGCAGCGACCGCGACGATGAGGACACCCGAGGTGTGGTCCGATTTCTCATCCAATGAGAGCCTGGGGAGGGTTTTCATTACCAATTTTCGCCCAATCGCACAACACTAGTCGGCAATTTCCGGCGAACTGCTGTAAGCGGAGGGTCATGCAGAGCCCTTAATGGTTATTCCCGTCGGGCTATAGAAGGTGAGGGGGGGCGCGATGATGGCCGCAGGAGGGGCATCGAACCGCTGTCCACGGCGGCGACTCCCTTAGCCGCGAGCTGCGCTGGGACGCTGAGGGTTTTGCCACGGCTAGCGAGCGCGATTGGAGGCAGAACGCGACAGGTTTTCGCGACCGGTGGCGCGCTGCTGCAGGTGACGACGGCCGAGATGCGCGGCGTGGCAGCGAGAACGAGGCTGGATTTAGAGGTGCTACATTTTTGGGATTTGACATAGGTAGGATACAGATACAGAGGGCTTGTGAAGGAGGCGAATTTGATATTAATTTTGGGCCTGAGAAGAAGCAGTCCGAAAGCCTTTTTTGGGCCTGTGAAGTAGCTGCAGAAATTGGGCCTATGCATAGGGATTTTGGTCGCGAATTTGGTCAATGGGTGGGCTCATTTCGCACTGATATCCCCGAATTTGACGAGGAACACGTTGACGGGCCATTGTACGACGGTCCGCTAATTTTTTATGAGGAGCCTCTGGTGACGAAGACATATTTTTGCCGCAATATGAGTCCCGCGTGGGACGTGGCAACGGTTGAGTCTTTGAATGGGCAGCCGTCATTCACACCCGATTTTTTGAATATTTTGGCCTAAGATGATTTTTGGGAGCCGAGGCCGAGACTCCATAACTGGTGGGACATTTTTCGATTGTTGTTCCCGAAGTCTCCTAACATTGGGATGTTTGGTCGAAGTTATAGATTTGAGCGTGGCGAACGTTGTGGTATGTTTGGTGTTACTTCCGTTGTGTGGGTTATGCGTATGGAGGCGTGTACATGTGTCTTTGCAACAGATCAATCCTTGCCCAAGATTAGATTTACCTTCGGGGTTATTGGATGACTTTCAACCTTCGTGTTCGATCGGGAGAACATCCAGGCTACTCAGGAGTCTTTAGGAACGGGTCGGATTCGAGGGCGAATCCTGCTCAACCGAGGGAGAATGATGCAGAGTAGATATAAGTATATTATTATTATTATTATTATTATTATTATTATTATTATTATTATTATTATTATTATTATTATCATTATTATTTAATAATTAGTAGTAGCTTAGTGAATAATCTAGGTTTAGTTTGTGGGGTTTATTTAAAGAATTTTTCTGCTGTGTGACGAGTAGTTGATTTTGAATGTGAAATAAAATTAGTGATTGTGAGTCTTGCGTGTTTTACGAGAGAGTATCTCGTTTACTCGTTTATCTTTCCCACTCGTACGTTTCCCTACATCACTAAATTTATTTAAAATACAAAAAGCTTATAAGCTGACTAAACAAAGTTATTCACCAAAAATAGAAAACTCCTCTATCATATCACCTAATTAACCATCTTTTCATGTTTATGAGTAGGGTGTCACACCAATCCAAGTCCAGCTTCAACAATTCAAAACACTAGTGAAACAAAATAAAATCGACAAGAAGCTCGTACGCGACTCGCTCTTCTTCATACAATCGGGCAATAACGACATTTACGGCTACTTCAATCCATTCCACCCTCCCACATTGACACCCGAAGCCTACGTGCAATCCATGGTGGCCCAAGTTGAAAATTTTGTGGACACGATTTACAAGCTTGGGGCCCGACGGATTTCCCTTTTCGGGCTAGGACCAGTGGGCTGTATTCCGGCCCGAGCACTTTTGCCCGGTGCACCTCTAACAAAGTGCTATGGCAAGATTAATAGAATGGTCAAGGATTTCAATATGGGCCTTGAAAATATGGTTACAAGTTTTTCGGTCAACTACTCGGGTGCGGTCGGGGTTTTCGGAGCGACTTATGAAATATTTCAGATTCTTCAAACCAATCCTAAGCACTACGGTATGAATTAACTAGCTTAAGCTTAGGGTTTTTTTTTTTATATTTATTAAAATTATTACAAGCTCCATGTTTGTAAGTGATCACAAGAGATGGGTGTGCACTTATTTTACTAACATATATAATAAAGTGATCGTAACTAGAAGTTAAATCAAAGGTTGACTTGAAACTACTAGAAAATTATCCAATTTCAGTGGTAATATATTTCAGTAACAGAATCTTAAAGTAATGTCATAATTTTTCTTGAAAAATTCCAATAGAAATTTCAATTTTGTTGAAAATAGTTTTTCGTTGGAATTTGACTTCGATTGGAATATTTTGATAATTTCAATGACAATGTTTCCTACGGACTGGAATTTTTGTTAGGAAAAACAGTTCCAACGAAAATTCCTACAACAATAGACTGTTGAAAAAAAGTAATGTTGGAATCTTCAAAATTCCAACTAGAATTTAAAGGAAATTAAATTTCGATGAAAAATTATGTTGAGCTGATATTTCAAGGGATGTTACAACATTGGAATGTGCTTTGCAATTTCTATTGAAATGTTGGAATTGGATATTTATTTATAGTGATGTGAGAATATTCAATTTAAACCAATAAATAAAGTTTGAAATTCATAATGGTTTCAATTTTCATTTTGTTATTATTTAAAATTTCCACAACTTTTCCACCTCTAAACCATGTGATCATATATATCTAATTAATTTCAATAATTACATGAATGGCAGGATTTAATGATGTAGAAAATGCTTGCTGTGGATATGGGAAATTGGGAGGAGAATTGCAATGTGGAATGGAAGGCTACACATTGTGCAAAAGCCCAAACGGTCATTTATTTTGGGATTATTTCCACCCAACAGAGCGCGCATACAAGCTCATCTCCAAAGCCCTGTGGGCCGGTGGGCCCAATCACATCCGCCCATTTAATTTGAAGAAACTATGCAACATCACCCTTCCGAATAACATATGATGATAATCAAAGGTTGTCTGGTTATCATAAAATAAAGACCTTTTCTCTTGTTTATATGAAGACTTTCTGGATTTCTTGTCTTGATTTAGGAAAAATAATAAGAGGTCTTTATTTCTCTTACTTATATGAAAACTTTCTGGATTTCTGGTCTTGATTTGGGAAAAATAATAAGATGCTCATTCGTGTGCATGTTTGAGTTTCATATATGTTAGGCACATAACTGGTAAAAGAAAAGAGTCGCTCGTGACTTTGGCTCGACTCCTTAAAGCAATTCGAGCTCATAGAGAGCTCGTTTGGTTAACGAAGTCGAACTTGACTTATTAATACTCGAAAATAATATTTTTATATAATATTTTATTGTTCGGTTCGTAAATATTGACAAACGAGCTCGAGCTCGATAAGTGACTCATATCCTACCAATACCATGCATCTGAGAATTATAAAAATCATGGTTGTTCAAACTCAATGGGACTATACATGACATCACAGTATAGAAAAATTGAAAAAATCATGTCGTTCAAACTATCACAGTAGAGTAAGTATGCTAGAAAAATTATGCTCACATCACAGTAGAGTAAGTATGCTCAACTGTTGCATTTAAGAATTAGAAAAATCATGGTCGATACTAGAAAAATATACATTCATGGTCGCATACATGATACTATGGTTGATGATAGAAAAATATGTTTTGCAAAATTGGAAAAATGTTCAAATTCACACCTGTTTTATTATGAAAATTTAAAAAAATGTTCAAATTCTGTTTTTACATCAATTGCTTTTTACATTACATCGAGTATTAATTGATTTTTTTTTTTAATAATTAAAATAAGCACTTCACTCAACAAATTTATATTTCTTTAATAATTAAAAAAAATATTTCCACACTCCCAGGAACTTCAAATCAATATGAGATACTAGTTTCGGTTTGATTGACACTCATAATTCATATGTGCATAAAACGTTGCGTGGCAGTAAAACAAACTTGTATTTTAATTTTATTTTGTAAATTTTAATAGTACAATATAAAAAAAAATAATAAAACAACTATTATATAATATGTATAGTTTTATTTTTAATATTAATAATCTTGAATATATTTATTAAATAAAATAATCTTTACATCCATAAATATATAATGTTGGTAACATAATAATCTTGACATCTATATATATTTTGTTAGTAATGATTTAGATTATCCATTAAGAATGCACTAGAAATTTCTTGATGTTGTAGGAATATATTAGAATATAGGTATATAGGTTTATTTGTATTTTATGTTTTTAGATTACATGTATATAGGTTTACTTGTACTTTGTGTTATAAAACATGTACCATTATTATACCTTTTTATATTAGGATTAGTCAACCCATATATAAGGACAACTAAGTGACTAACCCTAATTGTACATCACTTTTCATTTTCCCGCTTTCTCTGATAACGAAGCTTTCCTCGTTTCTCTTTTCATCTCTTTCTTTCTTCTTTTCATCTCTTTCTTTCTGAGTTCATCTAAAGCTTAACAAAATACTTGATTAATCTTTTAACAAATAAAATAATCTTGATGTAGAAAATACATGATTAATCTTTTAATAAATAAAATAATCTTGATATAAATAATGTTGTATTTATTATATTATTTTCCTTCATATCTTGATAATTTAAATAACCAAGGTCGTGTTTGGAACATATACATCCGCTGAAAACGAGTTTTTTTTTTTTGTTAACCAAGGTTAATTTTTAAAAAGATGGTATGATTAATTGTTAATAATATTTAAAATAAAATAATTAAAGTTGATTTGATGTAAAAGTATGAGAGAGATTATGTAAAATGATGGTTAGTTAAAATTATACGAGTGGATGAATAGTGAATTGAAGTTGATGTGATGTATAAGATTGATTAATTGATATTATTTAAGTATATTTAGTGTATTAAGGATAGTGGAGTTGAGTTAAAGTTGAATTAGATTTTGAGTATGGATTGCGTATCAATTGAAAAAAAATTATAGACAAACAAACTCTAAATATGTGTAAAATAATGTATTTCATTAAATTATTTTTGATACTATATTAATTTAAAAAAACAAGAATAAAATGAAAATATTTATGTAGAGTAAATGTAGCGCGAACAATCGGAGAAAACTTTGACTAACGGTTAACTCCAGTTAAGGATAGTAAGGTTGGGTTAAATTTTGAGTATGAATTGAATATGGATTGAATAATTTTATTACGAACGCACCCTAAGTGGGGGACTATATATTTACTAAGATGGGCCACTTAACTTTGCTTAGAGTTTCTTTGAAGTGCTTCATATTTTATTCCACTTACCAAATGAGCCCATTTGAAAACAGTAAACTAGAATGCTGAGACAGGGGTATGGCACAACAACATTTTACTCATTTTATTAAACAAATTCATGGTCTGGAGTTGTCTAACATATCCCAAAGAAAATATCCATTTTGAATAAATCTTAACTCTTAGATCTTCATCTTTATCACATTGAGAAATTAAACTAGTTTGTTCTAGTAGAAATATGATGAGAAAAATCAGCTCCTTTTTCCTTTTCTTTCCTTTTCTTTTGTCATTCTAATTCGTTTTTGGAGTTAAATGTGCATAGCAATTTGAGTTTGTCTTCTTTCTGATATGTATTTTTGTCATTTATTTTTTAGCTTCTTTTCTCGGGATGCAAGAAAATAATGTAAGCCAATGTTGTGATTTCTCTTACAACTATATTAATGGAATTTGACAGTTAATTGTTTTGCGTACAAATCCTTTATATTATTTTCGTGTAATATAATAGGTTCTCAGTTAAAAACATTGCTACTTTAGTGACACTATGATGATTAGTGTCAGCTAATTAATTTCGATGAAATTTTATAGAATATTGTTGCTAAATACAAAATTGTGATGCACTAGAACAAGTATTGTGAGTTGAAATTTGCCAATACATAAATCTTGTGTCACTAAAATTTGTACTAACGACGATGCAAGACAGTGTCACGCATTGAAATTTATTGCGCATATATTTTGTGTATCCAAAATCAGTAATAATGACATGCTTAAAAAAGTGTCACGGATTGATTATTAAATATAAAAATGATTTGTGTCACAAAATCTATATCTATATATATATAATTGCTGGCTCATGAACATTTAATAAAATCTATTAAATTATACCTATGTGGCAATATAACGTTTTCCCTCCAAGAATCGTTACTTTTTATTTATTTAATCTTTCATTTAATTATTAGATAATCAATACACTAATCACTTCAAAATTACAAAAATTATTTTAAACTTTTGATTGACCATATAATGTGTTGACTATTTAACGTGATTAGATGTCATTGTTGTGGTTACATTTAAATTAACTTCTTTTGGAAAATAATAAACATATTTGAAATTCCTAAATAAATAATAAATAATTCAAAAAAAAATGCATACCAAAATATACATTGCATCCAATATGATAAACGCAATTTAAAAAAAAATAAATATTCCAGCTCATTTCACAATACTTTATTTATATCTTTGCATTTGCACAGGTCGCATACTAGTATATATAATTGTTGGCTAATAGCTTTTAATAAAACATTTAATAAAACCTCATTTCGATTTCCCTCCAAAAATCGTTAGAAACTTTATCATTTATCTCTCTCTCTCTCTATATATCTATATATCTCTATATATATAATTGCTGACAAACAGCATTTAATAAAACATTTAATAAAAATCATTTCGATTTCCCTCCAAAAACCGTTACAAACTTTATCATTTATATCTCTCTCTATATTTAGTTATCAACAATAAATTTAAGAATATTAATTATTGTTTACCATCTTTTTATGTTACAATCTTCTATTATTATTATTAATCCATCATATCTAATTAATGCTAAAATATTTCACTGCACTTTTTTATGGTTAATTAAGACAAAAATCGTTACATTTTATATTAATGGAGTGATAATTATATTATTTTATTATATCATATAATAATTGTTATTAAAACTAATAACTATAGTTTACACTAAGTGATATATGAAAGTTACATAAACATAAAAAATTGTTGTAAACTTTTTGCTGAAGTTATTTATTCTAAAATTAATATTATAACTTTTATCTTATTTAGCGGTTGTATTTTTAAATAAGTTATTTTATTTTAGTGTTATAGTAAGATTTCTTAAAATCGCATAATCAAATGTTATAATAAATTTAATATTTTTAAGCTATTAAATTGGCAATCTCACAAAATTACATTATTTATTATATTTTATGTAATTAAAATAGTGGTTCATATGCAATCAAATAGTTATGTACTATTTATTTTAACTAATAATTAAATTTTAAAAAATAATATCTTTATCTAATTTATATTTTTATTATTATATGCATAAATATAACTTATAATACTCTATGTTTAAAATATAGTATCATTGTATAACTTATAATTTTAATACTATATGCATAAATGTAAGTTATAATATTCTATTTTCACAGTACAAATGCATAGAATCGAATACTAGTTCTATTAAATTGACGCAGATAGAAGAGCGTCATGTTTTAAAAACTACCTACGCAGGAGTTTTGCATCACGAAAATTTTCGTGACATCAAATTAACACAATCCATGACACTTTTAAAAGTGTAAGTAAAGTTTTTTTACGCTAATAACCGTTAATAAAAAATTAAAAAGCATCACTAATTAAGGTGTTTTGTTTTTCTTAGTGAAATAATTATCTTTTAATCCTACTCTCACTCCACTTTCTTATTTACTTTTTTTTGGCTATATGGACTTAAGAGATTATAATGGATCCATCTAAAGGCACACGAACACTTGTCCCTACACTGAACGCTAAAATGCCTTAAGCAAAAATGTAATTGTGGACAATCGAAGGCACATAGAATGAAAACGTGTTATTATTTATCGACATATAAATTCACGATCTTTTATTTATTTGAAAAATCATATACGAACTATTGGAATTTGCAATTCCATACAATGACGATAGTTCTAAAATGGTATCTCTCACCATTTACAAGGGTGTTATGCTGTTCGATTCGTGATTCAGTAATGTACTTCATAAATTTTTAAAAATTTAGAATAAATGTTTTTGCATTGTTTGATATATGATTCAATTCTTGTACATTGCAATTTTTTCTCATGAATTTAATTAAAATCATGTGGCCACCAAACTCCACAACGATTTACAAAAATAAAAAAAAAAATTAATAATAATA